CATATAGGTATCCAGGAGCATGTACGTGCTCTTCAATTAACACCAGTATTTCTAGGTTACAATTGTAGGGATTACATCAATCTGCGTACATTTCTTTATTTTTACAAGATAGTTAGAACCCAACCACCTCAAGTGTTGGTTCAAGGGTTTGCATTTATAAATTCTACACGTAACACACAAATTGATGCTCAATTAGAACGAACTTCAACTTTTGAACACTCCTTCCTAGTTCGTGTTTACCGAGTCTGGAACTGTTTTCCAAGTTCGCTGAGAAAATTTGGCTATTCTTACTTCACATATAAGAAGTTATTGAAATCGCATTTCAATGTTAAATGTGATGCATAAAATTAACTTGTTGTGGGATCCTTAACCTTACCTTTATTTTAATTTTACAATATTCATGTGGCTGGGTAGCCATGTTCATTCTTATTATTGTTAATTGTTACATTTGTCTATTCTATCATAGTTTAGCACTATTTTAAGTTAATCTTGCAAAACATGTATAATTGACCTTCAACGGCTTTCTTTGTATTGAAGGTAAATACATGAATTTGTAGCCCTCAAGAGAAAAAAATATTCACACATGCCGAGTGGGATATTTTATGAGCGAGCATCATGGAAAACAAGTCGCGAAATTGTAGATTTTCATACTTGTCCTCGCTGCAGCCAAATGAAGAATACTTTGATCATAATCAGGTCTCTCATTATGGTGGGGCTAATATTTTAGATTGTACTTTTCCTTGCATTTTATGAGAGTTATAATTGTTCATAAATTTTGACCCTTCATTTGTTTCACCTGACCGAAGTGTCATTCTAATGTTAACATGTAAAAAGCTTGAACGAATTATTTTAAAATTATTTTCTTTGAAAATTTTATACTTTTGTGGAGCAGGCAGGTGAAGGAGTTGGGCCGATTTTACCTATCTCCGAACTCGATCTAAGTCTGATAGAAGACATAAGTACTATGCCGTAGCAAATTTAGAATAAATCGGATACTCTCTTAGAGAGTTATCGGGCATACAGAAAGACTGATGGACTCTGACTGCGCTGAAATGGATTTCATCTAAAGAGAACTATTGTCGGAAACCGTTTTTTCAATGAGGCACATTTTGACCATGTGAAATGATATACTCACCCCCTGACGCCACATAGAGAAACCGTATTGATGACCAAACTCGATCGAAATCGATATTTGAATGAAAATTGTAGAGAAATTTTAAATTTAATATTTGAATGGTTTTCATTTCTCATCATAATCATATTTTTTTTAAATTCCGACATTTGCCCCAACGTGCTAAATATCATGGTTTGAAGTATTTAAGTGTTTCATAGTCTTTATACTGTTTTGTTTAATGTGAAAACTCCAATTGGAAAAGCTGTAACCTTACAAACTGACTTCTACCGATGTCAACAAGCAATTTTGATAGAATGATGAATTAAGAGTCGAAGACAAAATGCATATATACATTATTAACTATTTTATTTTTTTATGTAAAACTATAAAAATAGTATGTTCTTCTTACTGATAATTTTAGCTAGCTTAATTATATATTTGTTTTTAATTGAATTTCATCAGTTGAATGTACAAAGTAATACATATGTGCATGCCATACGCACACATTCTTATCATGGCAAATACACACACATACACACGCACTCACATTTATATTTAGGTTATTTAAATACTGACAGATAATCAGACCAATGTACAAAGACACCATCCATGAGTAGGAGCATCACGATCACTATTCCGATGATAAGACAAGGCAAATTAACAACAAAGTCAATATTTAATAGTCCAAGATTTCTATTGGAATACAACCAGGCGTTGTTGATTGTACAGAATTGTTGTTCGAACATGTTTGTTCATCGAGCGAGTATTTGCACGCTCGAAAATATGTAAATCCATTAGATTTATATCAACTACTTTGGCCTTTTTTTTTGGCAACAAAAAGAGAGCTACGATTTCACTCCATATTAAAGATTATACCACATAATTCGTTTCGTTGTTGTTGTCTATATTGCTGTTATATTTATTTTACTTTATTTATCGAATATATCGATTTCCTCCGGAAATCATCTTCAGGGATCTGTTTTACATAAAAACACAAATTACAAAATGATTTTAACAATATATAACACAATAAATAATATACATTTCAATGTAAAAGCTCATATATTCAGTTTAAACGTCACAATCAAACTAAGTTTTCTTTCGTCGGTTTTTGTGATGTAGGTTCCTGTAAATGTGAGCACCGTGGTCTGTATCGGTTTTATAATTAATTCGTATGTTATTTTATAAACCAATCCAATATAAATTTAAGGTTGGGTTTGTGTCCTGTCAATGTGCAATGGGCAGCTAGAGCAGTCTTTTGTTCGGGAGGCTTGTGACTTTTTTGATCTGACTTATGTCCGGAAAGTCTAGTTTTTAATTTTGTTTTTGTCGTGCCGACATATGCCTTTTAGTATACGTCAGCGTCATCTCCATTACATGTCACATCCTATAAACTACATTGCACTGGTCCTCCTTCTCAATTTTAGATTTTGTTTCATTAAACACACTGTCGACATTATTGCATGATTTTAAAGCTAATTGATAGTGGTCCTTATTATGGATGTTTGATTTACAATATCTTCTTAGAATCCCGGAATAAACATCTTTTCTTGTCTTGCCTCCTTATCATGGTCCGTTCTTGTGCGTAATCGGATATCAACACCACATTAAATATTCTAAATGCATTCAACCCGAGCATACAATGTACACAGGAAATTGAGAAAAATTATAGACTTCCCTATTTAAACGCAATAATAATCAGACAAGGAAGCAAACTTAAATTTAATTGGTACCAAAAAGCAACGGCGTCAGGACGATTGATCAACTTTTATTCTAAACACCCCCGACGAATAAAAATTAACACAGCGACTAATTTTATCAATAGTGTTTTCAATATGGGTGACGAACAATTTCACTCACAGAACGAAAGAAAAATACGTCAAATATTATGCCAAAATGAGTTTCCAAAAAGCACCATTGACGACCTAATTATACACGCAAGAACGGACCATAAAATGTAGGCAAGACAAGATGTGTAAAGCTGTTACTCACATCCCGGGATTCTCAGTGTTTTTATACTCTCCACCATACTATGGAGGGTATATGGACATTGACATTCCGTTTGTAACTGCTCGAAATACACATGTCAGATCCAACAACGTACATATATTTTTGATCAGTGTAAAATTTAGCGAGGTCCGTCTGTCTGTCTGTTGCAATCACGCAATCTTTCGAACGAATTCCGATGGCTAGGTTAGGTTAAAAACAGGGACCAGTATAAGCCTGTTGTTCGCTCTAGACTAAGAGGTTATTAAAAGAAGACGGGTAGTCTATAAAATTTGAAATTCAGTTGCCTTAACAAAATTCCTCAATTGTTTTATTTCATTTATCAAGATCTGATTTAGGTCTAGTATGAAGTCGTCCCCTAAGAAGTGGGTAACACTGGGCATTGGCAGAGAAAATGCTCCTATTTTTCGTCATCTTTCTCGCATGCCCTGCATATGCTGTTATCGGCGCGACCTATCTTGTACAAATGAACTTGGGCCTAGTTGCCCCTAAGGATGCCTGTTAACCCTCTAATCTCTTTCTTACCTAGTAATAAAAGATTCTCATTGTGGTCGCCCCACAGGATTTTTTTTTTTTGCTTTTCCCTGCGTCTTCATTGTTCCATAAGGGTATATGAGCGTTTCTTGCCCGCACGAAAAAACTGAATGTACTCTACTGGAAGACGAAACAGGACAATAATTATTGCAAAACCTTTGCTTGTATATTAACTCATAACAAGTAGCGTAAAAAACTAATATTTAGTTCATTTCATGTCATCGTTTGGTTTGGAAGCGTTCTATGGTGAATCATTCGCAAACGACTCAGCCGAAAGACATTAGGGCAAAAGTTCTGTTGGTGTACCCTTGCATTGAAAATTGTTTTTTAGTACACAATTTGTTTTTTAGTACACAACAATAGAAAAATAATAAATGAAAATAAAAAGTTTGTGACCTTGTGTGATCGGTAGGTTAATCGTTGTTTGTTTTGATACACTTCTTATAATTTCGCATTTATATGCCATGCCTAGATGCCAAATTGCTTGTATATCCCCACCTTGCGATTTTTCGTTATTCCATTTCAGAATAGCTGTATTACGCTGGCTCTAACATGATGTGTAAACTAGCATTTAGCTGATTTGGCCTAGACAATCGACAACCTAACCCTACCAAGACATCCGTGCAAGTCAAAAGATGGATCGAAACGCAGTCATAAGGCTAGTTTACACATCATGTTAGAGTAATGTGTTAAGTGAGTATTTCACATACATTTATAATCTACTTTTAAGCGCTCCCGACAATTTTTTAACTTAGAAGAAATGTTATACCCCATAAACGTTATACTAGGTAGAACAGATTGGAAAAGTTTTGAAAAACACAACTCTGAAGCTAGAGGCTTGCGACTTTGAAATTACTAACAATGCCTTTATTATTAGTAATTTCGCAATCACAAGTTGTTTTCTTCATTTGGCCATATTGTAATTTCAGAGAAAATTACCAGAAAGATTCTACTAAAAAATTGTATTGAGGTGATTGATATGCGCTACCTTGAAAATTATTGTGCCATGGCAATAGAATAATAGAGAATGACAGTCCATAGAAGCCCTTCTTCGAACAGCCTGTAAAATTGTACCAATAGTACGAACTCTGTCTTCGACCTGTATATAATTTGTTTTTTTTTTTAAAAAAAAAGCATGTCAGCAAAAGTTTTAATAGACCACGATGACTACACTATCGGCATAAATAGAAACAGAAGTGAAATTACAATGTTTCCTCTGAATTAAACTCAGTACATAGGAAATATAAAAAAAATATTTAAAAAATCGATTCATTTCAAATTATATATTTTTGGTCTACTTTTTGTCCATTGATTAATAGTCTACCATATCCACTCTATTTTTCAGAAATACCTGTAATTTAAAATGGGCAGCTTAAACGGCGATGTTGTGGTCATGCGTAATGGCCGATCCACGAGCCAGGTATCGATTTACAACTACCCCGAACACTTGAATCCCTTCTATGAAGACGAACAACATAAACGGCTGCGTTTTTGGAAAATTTCGAAAAAGGATGGCGAAGGACGTCGGAATAGTTTCTCAATTGGTAATCTTAGAGATATGTGGTGAGTATAAAAGACTAACAATAACATGCTATTCTACAGGGTGAGATAAAAAAAAAACTGAAACAAACTCAAACGGCATAATTTTTCATTTGTTTTCAAATTTTATTGAATGAAAGCAAACAATGTCGATAATAGCATCAAATTTTAGAATTACTTTAGATTTGTTCGAATTGGTCACCTTTGGCACGAATTATGACCTTTAAACGGCCAATGAAACCGTCACACGCTACCCGAATGTTGTTCTGCTGTATTTTGGTCCATTCCCGGCGAAGCGCTTGCTTGAGGTGATCGACACTTTGGTATTTTTTAGTGCCAACCACAATACTCCACACACAATAGTCCAACGGATTGGTATCCGTATATAAGTTTTGGTGGCCATTGTTCGCTGGAAATGAAGAGAGGAACTTCATTTTGTAACCATTCTTGGGTGGAGCGTGCTGAGTGCGATGGTGCCGAGTCCTGTTGCAATGTCCAAGGTCTGCGGTCAAAATGTTTGCGTGCCCAAGGCTTTAATACACCCACTAGAATATTTTCGCGATAATATTCCGTATTTATTCTGTTATGGCGGCCCACACCATCACCATGGACGGCGCTTGAGTCCTGGTGGCCAAACGAAGGTGCACATTTTCAGCTGACCTCTTTGGCAAGTAAACACGATCATCATGTTTGTTTACAAACAACTGGACAACGAATGTTTTCTCATCGGAGAAAACCAAATTCAGCAGTTTACCACTTTCGGTACGATTGTAAACAATATACTATGAGCTGTCACTGGAATAATTTTAACAGCTGTCGGACGAGTGGCGTAGGAATGACAGCATACTGGATTTGGTTGAAATTTTTTCATCTCACCCTGTAATTGCAAAAGAAATGTCAGTCAACTTCAAAATATTGCAGTTTCCTGCGCGCTTGGCATTTTCTATGAAATTAATAAATCCGAAGGAAAAACCCTTCGTGTATGCGAACTAAATTTGGTATGTTCATGCTATTCTCACGTTCAACTGTTCCTGGCATGTTCTCGCTTTGGTAGATCGCGCCATTTGTTTGTTTACGCATTCAAGTATTACAATAATTGCGTTTGGAATCTTGGCAAAAATCGTTTTGAATTCTGAATAAATAATATTAAAACTGAAATGAGTGCGCAATACGATATTAAGTTGCGATCTTTCATGTCTAAAATGGGTATCTAGCTTTCAACTAGCGAACACAAACAAAAATGATTTCAACCGATTTCGAGTTAATTGTGCACCAAATGGCCAATACAAATCCAAATGACCTGCATTTTGGTACATCCCATCGAATTAGGCTAGAAGCAAGCGCAACAAATTTGAAGATTTGAAGAAATTAGGTTCTGATATAGCTATAGCTCCCATATGTTTGTTTCATCCGGTTTGGTATTTAAGTCCCTCACATTCGTAATATGCTTACGACAACAATGATATTTGGTACCAGATATCTTATAGAGCTCGAAAATACCTCTGGCAAATTGTATCAATATCGGTTCAGATTTGGGTATAGCTCCCATATACATCTTAAACCGAGTTCTGGTTTATTGTGTAAATAATGGCTAATATCAACCCAAATGGAGTGAATTTCGGGTCGTACGTTTCCATATTGTGGAACTCGGCTCCGATATATATTTTTTTATATATAATCCTTCTCGAAACGATATCATGTACTCAGTAGGAATGTTATTTGGTATAAAAGATTATAAAGTCTCTGGATATGCCTCCCATATGTTAATTCCATCTGAAACCAAACTATAACTGCCAAATGTTGGTACGTGGTATGATGTACGTCAGATAAATTCTTTTGTTACCGCAGCCCTACTAAGTATGCATAGTGGTGTAGGGTATCATACATTCGACTTTTGACTTTTCCTTACTGGTTTTCATACTAATTTCGGCAAATGTTGGTCATGTGAGAGGAAGCCATCCTATCTTCGGGGTCTTGGACACTTTTTTTCATTTTTTTGGACCTTATTTAGCATCTTGGTTTCTAAGGGGATAGAAACCCTCTTCGCATAAAATGTTCAATTTTCGGAATAGGCTCCATCTTGGTCTCGACCACATACATCAATTGATTTGGCAAAAAAAAATGTATTTAGGCTACCCTGGGGTAGAGAACCATCTTACAGATAATTGTCCACATAGGCATTCATTTAAGTATACTCCCCCCACATTAGTGTACCCCCATTTCCACTTTCCCAACAAATGTGTGGTCAGAAAAGAAAATGTTGTATTCTATTGAATTTGTAACCCCCAAGAGAATATTGATTGAAAGCGTACATTCGTGATGTACGTCTATATGAAATAAACTCCGAAATGTCAAACTGGGAAATGTCAAATTACGAATATTAGAAAGTAGCACGGGACCGAACATTTGTTTAGTTGTCATTGAATTATACTATGATAAAAAAATATAGACTTTATGGGGTCTCAAAACACAAATTTAAATGACAATAAATGTAATCTCATCTTACGGCAATGGGTGTAGATGAGTAATTATCTTTGACTATTCTGAAATCATTCTGGCCTAAATTATGACGTGGACAAAACTTAATACTACGCAGCACGGCATTCTAAAAGTTGGAAATACAAACTCCAAACTACAGCTTATTTGAATGGAAAATGTTGCTAAGCTCTTTCCAAAAATTGAGCTGAGTTTTCACATGAGGCTATAACAGATGTTCTATCATTCTATATGATATAGGTTTTTAACACTTAAATTAAAGCCTATGGCTGACAAATAAAATCAGGCTATTCAAAATATCTAAAACCGACGGTAGGTGAACATCTGTTATAATTTTTGGCATGAATATTTATTTCTATATAGAAATTACTATGGAGTCATTACGTATAATAAAAACTGTGCCGCTTACATAAGTCAGATCTGTAATTTATTAGGCTTGAAAAAATATGCATTAAAGACTAAAAGTACGGGCCGGCAATGCGGACAGGGCCAGCTAGTTTATATATATGTACATAACATTTGTTAATCCTAATAAAATACTCATGTGTGCACTTAAGGTCAGTTTTTCATACCTTGTCATAAGTCATACATAGAGTGATTATTTCACATTTAACGTAGCATAATTTGAATCGCTCTCAACAATTCCATGGTAGAGAATATAGGTAGACGCGTCGACACAGCTGCTTGGACAATGAACTGTCAAACCAATTTTGGAATTGAAAATGTTGAATGAAAAACTATTTAAATTTGTAAAAATTGTTGAAAAACGCGAATTATAATAGCCTCCGAATGACGTAATATAAGAAAGTTTATAAAAATCTACTTATATTTGAAAAAACATTTAAATTTTTTTGACATATCAATGCTCCCAAGCGTTGATGCATCTACCTGTATTCTTCTGCCATGAACAATTCTTAAGCTTCAAATATTGCTATACGAAATACTTATACTGGGGATATACTTGTTTATAACATACGTCAATGCATATATGACACTAACCTGAGGTGAATGTTAGTTGGCCTTAAACTGAATACTTTTTCTCTATTCTCTTGCAGGTCTTTCAAATCGTTTAGTTTGAAAAAGAAATCTTCAACATTGGGCATTAACAAGACCTCTGAAAGCCCTCCTCCATTGCGGCGTGAAATTAATGTTGATAACGGTTGGAATTCGTTCGATCATCGTTTACGTGGCAGCGCAACGTCATCGATAAATGGAGATTCTTTCCAGCGGAATGCCACATACCGTAGTTCACTGCAAAATCTACCGTCCACAAACGTGAGTATTCCTTAACATGGCAGAACCATTGATTGGACTCGCTAAAAAACCAAATTTGTAAAAAACTTATATGAGTGTCTAAATGTTTATATAGTTAGGAGCAGAATGAACATATCAAGTTTTCTTTTTCAGGATCGTTTCGGTTTCAATCGCAACGATGATTATCGCAGCACCATACAAGTGCCCCGAGCAAATCCACGCTATAATCCGCAACAACAAAAACCCTATGTGAAGCCGAGAAGGTATGTTTATGGTGGGTCAGTAACACCACAACCATTACGAAATACTAATCTAGGTGGCGGTAAATACATATCGAACCAAGACATAGCCTTAAACAGATGGGGGTGAGTGGATCCATGCGATGATTGACGATGTCGTTAGTGTACCTTTTTGTCCACTGTGGTGTTCTCTGAAGTCCCAACAAGAAATCCATACACAATTTTTGTGTGCATTGTCATTTATCATTTTGTGTTGTTATTGTTTCTCACAACCGTTAGAGTCTTGTATATTAGGGTGTAACGGAAAATGTACTTGAAGTGATTATCCTTGAACTTAATTTCTTTGTTTGTCACGTCTCAAATGTAACTTTTTGTACTCCACCCAACACCCAACTGGGGCACATTGTGTTATGTATTTGTGCCTTCCTTTGTAACATGCGGAAGGAAACCTGATAGAAGCATAGTTCCTTTTGATGATCTCCATACAATTACATTGTTTCTTTTTTAAGCAAAGTACAGTTAGCAGTTATTATCCGATTGAGATGACATTCTTCAAAATGCATTTATTTTTTACCTCAATTTAAGTTTACCAAACGATTAATGCCACCCCAAATAGGTATTAGGAATTCAGCCTAGAAGAAATGTATATGTACTGTGAGGGTCAAGAAGGTGAGAACAGGTGGAGTGCGTGATCATGTACAGAAAAAATACACATACACAGATATACAACAAAAGTATGATAAACATTAAACGTTGGCTCTGCAAGAGTAGAATCTGCTCGATTTCGAGCGAATTTTGCTCCCACTCAAAAATGATAAAAAAATGATCACTCATATTCGAACGACGTCGAAAAATTATGTTTGGTCGATGTTTATACCCCCCACCATACAATGGAGGTTATATTAAATCCGTCATTCCGTTTGCAACACCTTGAAATATTCGTCAATGATCCAAGATCAGATGTCCGTCTGTTTGTCAATCGAAAACACGAAAAGTTTACATTATATGCAGGCTGATTTGTACTGAAAACGGTATCTGCCGATAAACGGTATTATTTCATAAACATAGTAGTGGAGGATATAAAAAGTTCAGCCCTGCCGAACTTAATTCGCACTCACTCTAATCCGGGTGAGTATCGCTCTTTGTACAAATTTTTCGGAGGTTTGGTTTAACCACAAATCATATACATATTTGCTATTTCAATCTCAGGGTCGGATAAAACGAGAATCGGGGTGAATAATGGCGCAAAAATCATGAAAATACGGAGTATCGGGAGGTACCATCATATGGGGGCTATACGAAGACGTGGACTTGCAAATGATTTTTCTTGCCATAAGTTGTAGTACCCACTAAGATACGAAATTTGAAACGATTCCGGTGAATAATGTTGCTGAAATCGTTAAAATACCGACTGTCAAAAGGGAGCTATACGAAGACGTGTACCTGCATGCAAACATTTTTGTCACAGGCTGTAGTACCCATTACGAACATCAAATACGAAATTTGATTTCGATTTAATTCCGGTTTCCGATTCCGTGATTACAACAGACAGACGAACATCGCTAAATCGTCTTAGAATTTTACGCTGATCCAGAATATATATATACTTTGTAGGGTGTATTATGAATATTTCGAGGAATTGCAAACGGAATGACAAAGTTAATATACCCTCCATAGAATAGTGGAGGGTATAAAAGAGTATAAATTCTTTTTAGATAATTTGTTGACTTTCAGTGGCCAAAGAATATCTGCTTATTTCTAAAATAAAGAATTGTTAGTCAGTGGGCCACTGATCAGTAATGGAGGTTTTTTGTAGTAGAGATGTAGATGTAGAGCTGAAAGTGGCGCAAGAGCCCATAAAGTATTTACTTCGTGCATTCGATTACTTTTGTCTAGAAGAACATTTTTCATATCGAGGTCTGACTGTAGACTTTTTGGGTTGGGACATTTATTACATATATCTTTATTATAAGTAAGTATTATTAACATATGTCTTTGTTTGTGTATTATCGCCCAAGTCCAGAACAAGCAAAATAATCTAATACCACCAATTAGAGGTGCCGATTTGAATCGATTGAACGGCATTCGATCGTACCGACTTTCAAGTTCAGTCGGTTCGCATACGGCAAAGAATAAACAATCCACACAAACACAGCTTTCGTCTCGACCCTTTGTCTCAATTAACGGCGATATGTTAATTATTGATATTCTACTATTTTTATCATATCTTCTGTTTCGTTTCGCCGCTAGATCGTCGCAGAGCAGCATGGTTAGCACAAACCCCTTCGAATCGGACGTCGATGATGACAATGAAGATGTCAATGCGTTGCAAAGTGTTAATGGCGGTTCTACTTCGACGCTTTCCAAAGCAACGCCACGCAAGAAGCGTCGAGCACCGGCACCACCCACTCCCGTAAGTATTTTGGTAAACCACTTGTCGTAGCTCGTAATAGACGGAACCCCACGCCCGCTTTTTAAAATGTCATCTGCTAATATACAAACATCTTTATTTACTAATCGTTGGCTTTTTTTGCAAAAATTAAACAAACGCACACACACACCAACACATGTGCTTTGCATTTTATTTAATTAATTGCTCGGGGCAGAGTAACTAAGTGGTTCCAACAGCAACCGCACTTGAGTTCAACAGTCGTTTCTGCTGTTTCATTATTTTCTTAGGCAAACACCAGAGTTGTTATTCTGTAATTGGAAGTATTTGTACAACGATAAAATTTAGTGCGGCGATAAGATATCGCATGGCATTTCTAAACTTAAGATGATAAAACGAACGCCGAAAGGTTCTCTCCGGCCGGTAGCCTATTTGGCAAAAAAAATAGTACAATGAATTTAATTAATCTAAAGAAAATGTAATTATTTCTACGTTATTACCCTCTTAGATCCATCGACAGCGTATCGGAATAAATCATTTCTATGATAAAGGAACACTCCGATTCGAACTTCTGTTAGATATAGCCGATTAATTAAATTATCGTTTGTCTACTCTTACCATGGTAAAATTAAGAAGGTAAAGACATTCAATCATATGTTTACAATTTTTTTCCAATTTTTTTCATTTGACAACATCTCATTGTCAAGCTGTTCATTTATAAATCCCATGGTATAATCATTGCAGGTAACAGCAAGTCCCAGCTGATTTTACTCTATAGTGATGCTGGTGTCAAACTCGATATGACGTTTTGTTATTTAATTCCATTTTTTGATAGTTATACCCTTTTTTGATATAAAATTTCACTGCAGGACAATGTGAACATATTTTTTGCCTAACAATATGAAAAATCGCCGTTGTACTTAACAAAACGCCAAAGGCGATGGTTCGGAAACATTTTTTGCGGTTAAGGAACAGCGACACCACGCAAAATATAGAATACTTTATGTATGTATGCTGTTGCTGTTTGGTTTCAACTTGAAAGGGATGTTGCCTTTTCCGCGATTTTCTAGCGATTGCTTGAAGTGTTGAGATATTAACAGCTAACAAATATACATTCAGGGGAATCAGGTGAACGCATTAAAATTAAATATTTTAGGAAGTATTCTTCTGCATTTTCAATTTAATAATCCAAATTCCAAAAATAAAATAATTTATTGAAAATTAATTATTTTGTTTATATTTTTGAACACATAACTCTGACACTTGCATTACTTACAAATTTGCAAATTTGTAGAACAACACTTGCTGTTACCTGTATTATTTTACCATGTATAAATCCATTTTACATGTACAAATCAGAGATGGAAACCTTCTTTCTATGAAGTGAAATTGTCAAGGTAAATTACAGAAAATATAAAGATTGGAATTACATTAAGGCATTCGTATTGTTTGGGTACTTCTGGAACTGAAATGCTTCGCTGCTTTCTTTTAAAATTTCCGTGAAAAATCAATTTATTTTTTAATTATTATTTATTTATTTTTTGTTCTATTATCAACAATGTCGCCGCTGTAAGCCGTCAAACGTCAAATTAAATAAAGCGAGTCAATAGAGACATTGACATAGAGTGGCTTTATTTAATTGTCATAAGTCGCCGGCCGGCTTTTTTTGTAAAAGAGCAAAGAACTTTAGGATGGCACTATGGGGGCGATGACATGTTTTTGGGTCAACAAATCATATTTCGAAATTAGTCGATTAAAAAAAAATTAATGGAAATACGTTCATAACACTCCAAAACAAAAAATTACAATCTGGCAACAACTCACGGTCCTATGCCGAGTTGTTGAAGATTCCATATCATGGTAGAAGAATAAAGGTAGTCGCATCGACACAGCTGCTGGGACAATGAACTCTCAAACCGATTTTGGAATTGAAAATGTTGTATGAAAAATTATTAAAATTTGTAAAAATTGTTGAAAAATTTATATTATTACAACCTCTGATCTGCGTCGTATCAAAACACATTAAAAAATCCACTTTTTTTTCATAAAACATTTTAACAATTTCGACATATCAATATTACCAAGCCTTGATGCATCTACCTATATTCTTCTACCATATTCCATATTTTCTTTTCGCCACTTCCTGACATATAAACTTAATCAAACCTTACATTGTTATTGGTGCCAAAACACTGTTTGCATTATATTAAGAATAAAAAGAGTAAAACACGTGAAAAAGAATGTAGACTAAGATTATTATTGTAAACAAGTAAAAAAACATTAAGTTCGGCCAGGCCAAACTTTTAATACCCTCCACCTTAGGGTAAAGGAAACGCTAGAAGAAATGTGGCAATAACCATTAAAATGCCGAATATCGTTAGGTACCGTTATATGGGGGCTATACCAAATCGTGCACCTACACATGCAATGTTTCGCCAAAGGAGCTGGAACCCATTATGACCCACAATTGCCAATTTTTAGACAAATCAGTGAAAAAATGTGGCAAAAACAATAAAAATACCGAATATCGGGAGGTACAGTTATATGGGGGCCATACCAAAACGAGGACCTATAATTACAATGACTCGCCACACGAACTGGGACCCATTATGATCTACAACTACCAATTTTCAGAGAAGTTCTTGAAAAAATGTGTCAAAAATCATCAAAATACCGAATATTGGGAGGTACCGTTATATGGGGACTGTATAAAAACGTGGACCTACACATACAATGTTTCGCCCCACGAACTAGGACCCATTAAGACCTACAAATGCCAATTTTTAGACAAATCAGTGAAAAAATGTGGCAAAAACAATAAAAATACCGAATATTGGGAGGTACCGTTATATGGGGGTCATACCAAAACGAGGACCTATAATTACAATGACTCGCCACACGAACTGGGACCCATTATGATCTACAACTACCAATTTTCAGAGAAGTTCTTGAAAAAATGTGTCAAAAATCATCAAAATACCGAGTATTGGGAGGTACCGTTATATGGGGACTATATCAAAACGTGGACCTATACATACAATGTTTCGCCACACGAACTAGGACCCATTATAACCCACAAATATCAATTTTTAGACAAATCCGTGAAAAAAATGTGGCAAAAATCATCAAAATACCCAATATCGGGAGGTACCTTTATATGGGGGCTATACCAAAACGTGGACCTATACATGCAATGTTTTGCCACACGCACAGGGATCCGTTATGGCCTACAAATACCAATTTTTAGACAACTCCGAGAAAAAATGTGGCATAAATTATCAAAATACCGAATATCGGGAGGTACCGTTACATAGGGACTATACCAGAACCTGGACCGATATATCTCATTTTCAATACCAACCATCCTAGACACAATACAAATTGCTCTGCTAAATATTGGCGCTCCACGTCAAATAATGTGGACTGTATCGTGATTTCAACAGACAGACGGACAGACAGACAGACGGACATCATTAAATCGACTTAGAATTTTATGCTGATTATGAATACAAATACTTTATGGGGTCTACGACGAATATTTAAGGATGTTACAAACGGAATGACAAAGTTAATATACCCTCCTTTCCAAGGTGGAGGGTATAATAAAAAATATTGTTAAACGTTGCAACACTCTTCTTGAATGAATGTGTCGTGTTTATATAGTTTTTGTTTTTCATTTGGAGTAGAACTTTCGGTTTAGGGCGGTATTTGGGAAGCAATATACATGTGGGGAAAGGTAATAATGCGTTCTATCATATTTAAGAAAAAAGTTTGCACCACTTTGCACTTTTCAAAAAACCCTCAAAAATTCATAATTCTTTAAACCATGGTAAAATTAAGAAGGTAAAGCCATTTCAAAAAAGCATTCCCATCTTTGCATTTTCTGTAATTTAGCTTGTCAAATTTCACTGCACGGAAACAAGTTCCCACCTCTGATTTTGTATGTACAATGGGTTTATAAATATATACTTTGACAATGAGATGTTGTCAAATGAATAATTTTAAAAAAAAATTGTAAACATATGATTGCATGACTTTACCTTCTTAACTCTTCCATGCTTTAAACATTTTGCTGGAAAATCAACGATAAATCCCACAAATGTAATAAACTAGATTTGAGCAATGTGTGAATTAAGCATTATCGACAAATATTTTACGACCATAAACAAGCATTTATGCACTAACAAATCTAAAGCGGCTAAGAAACAAAGAACCGAAAATCATTATTTAAAAGGTAATAAAATGGTATTTTTGCTTAAGGCAGAGTCTTCAAGTTACTAGCATCATCTGATCCGTCTTTATCAACTACATATTTAACGGGTATTGAAAAGGCAAAAGTCAGGCTGAGCCGAAAATATATTTCCCGACATCTGTGTGTATACTTAGTAGAGCTTCTGGTAAAAAATAATTGCTCATATTAGTTGTGTTCCAGTACTTTTTTAGTAGTAAAACTAGCAGAAGAGAGAACAGTTCGAAATGTCATTCTCATTTAGGTTTGCTCAAAAAATAAGGGAACGGAAAATTAGCAGAAATGCGATAAAATGTCAAAATTCAAAATTCCCAAAGTAAACAGCCTAAATCGGACTGGTGAAACCTTACTGAAAAGAGCGCCAACATTTAAAAAATGAGTATTGAAGACGATAAGTTAAAATTAATAATTTATAATAATAATTAATAATCTGATTCCTCATTCAGCCAGTCCTCTTCACTGCTGGAATCATCCAAAAGTGAATACATCAGTTGCTCCATATTTTCTCTTTTTGTTTTTTGCACGACAAATATTAGTTTTTCCTTTAGTTTTCAAGTTGATCATTTTCTTTATTGAAATGTATCAATACATTTTTCAACCTTGTTAGCCCTGCCAATTAAATGTCAAATTTACAATATGCACATTTCTGCTCGGCCAAATTCATGTAGCTAAAACAAGCAGAAAAGGGCACCACTCAGCGCCATTTTTTCTCGAGAGAGCTGCAAGTTTTGCTAGTTTTTGGAGTACGGGAACGCGTTGTAGCAGAATTAGTGCT